TGAACCACCAGCTGTCGCACATGAACGACAAGCCCTACAAGTGCAGCTTCTGCAAGTACTCCACCTTCCGGGAGGACTTTCTGGTCTCGCACATGGCTGTCAAGCACACGGGTGAGAGCAGGTGCCTGCCTGGCCCCACTCCCTGACATGCCTGTACCCTTCTAGATCCCCTGCTTCTGCAGGACACGGGCAAGAGCGTGTCTGCTCTCCCTGCTGCCCTTGTAGACCCCTGCTTGACTCCTGCCTCACATCTCCTGCAGGAGGGAAGCCGTTTGCTTGTGAGTTCTGTCACTTCACCACAAAGCATAAAAAGAACTTGCGTCTCCATGTGCACTGCCGGCACGCTGACTGCTTTGAAGAGTGGGCACAGCGGCATCCCGAAGAGCCGCCCTGCCGCCGCCGCCCCTTCTTCACCCTGCAGCAGATCGAGGAGCTGAAGCAGCAGCATAGCCAGGTGCAGGCCCCTGCTGAGCCAGAGCCTAGCCCCCCGGTAAGTGCCATTGCCCACGCCCCCGCTCCTCCCTGCTCTTCATCTGCCCTGGCTGTGCTCTCAGCTCTTTCTCTCACACAGGTCCCTCTTGGCCCTGTGACCTACCATGCGGTCCAGGCTCTCCCAGGAGCAGAGCCCCCCATTCTTTCCCAGGATTCCCTGGGAGGGGCCACCATCATTTATGAACAAGGTGAGATCCAAGAACAAGGTGGAGGGGACTGGGGGGAATGTGGGCGAGCGCTGTGTCTCACTCCCTCTTTCTGACCCTGACAGGTGTGGCACTCAGCGAGAGCTGGCCACAGGCTCTCTGCAGGTGAGGAGGGCTGAGGGAGAGCCACGCCTGCTGTGGGGTGGCAAGGAGAGGTTTACCAGCCCTCCAGCAGTCTCTTCACAGTGCCCAGCCCTGTTCTACTGTAGGGGATGTCTTGCAGAGCCTTGCATTCCTCCAGCTGACCTGCTGCTCTCCCCCGCACAGGTGGCAGTGGTGAAGCCGGATGACTCAGGAGAAGTGCAGGCATCAGGTGAGTCACAGACAGAGGAGGAGGGGGCAGAGATGGATCACTCCGAGCAGCAGCAGCAGCAGCAGAAGGTGGTGACGCTGCACATGGCAGAGCCTGGGGAGACGCTGGTGCAGGAGGCTTATGAGGAGGCGACCTTGGGTGGCTCAGAGCTGCAGCAGATCACTATCCCCTTTGGTGGGACAACAGAGTACAGCATCATTACCCCCATCAGCGAGGAGATCCAGGCTCCAGGCACACTATACAGGTTAGCCTTGTGGGAGAAGTGAGGAGACAGATGCACTTCTGACATCCAATTAGGGGGCCTTTAGTGGGAGTGGGATGAGACAGATCCTCTCTGACCCTGTCTCCTGCCCACAGTGAGGAGGAAAGCCCTACAGAGACCTCTCATGCAGTCGTGGTGAGCGAAGCTGTGATGACTGAAGCTCTGAAGGACCATAACAATCACTATATCATGTCATCCAGTGTCCCAGGGAATCAGTTCCATCACATTGAGGTAAGGAGAAGGGGGTTTCTCTCCCGTTTCCTGGCAGTAGTGTGAGCAGGTGTGATTGGTTTTTTTTTCCCCTCTCTTAGCCTCTCAGTGGAGACACTGCCTTTCCCTCACCAGCAGAGGGCCAGGAGGCACAGGCTGCTGGTGTCAAGTGGCCTTTGGTGCAGTGTGTCACCAGGCAGCTCCAGAAGGATTCATCTTTGTCCCCAGCCTCCGAAGGGCGGGAAATCTCATCCCCAAAGGTCAAGTGGCCTGCACTCCCAGGCATGGCCAAGAAGCTCTCGTGCAAGGTTTCTACAGCCAAGAAGCTCTCATGCAAGATTTCCACAGCCAAAAAGTTTTCATGCAAGATTTGCACAGCCATGTTTACAGGGAGAGCAGAAATGGAGAGTCACAAGAGAGCCCACATTGGGCCCAGCACCTTCAAGTGTCCTGACTGTCCGTTCACTGCAGCTCTCTGGCCAGAGGTTCGGGTAGGTTTCCCTGGTACATAGCAGCCCTGGGAATAAGAGATTTGGGGAAACTGGAGACAGCGGCTTTCTGACTTTGCTTTACCCTCCTGTCCCCAGAGCCACATGGTTCAGCATGCCAACCTTCGGCCACACAAGTGCACCCACTGCAGCTTTGCTTCCAAGAACAAGAAAGACCTGCGCAGGCACATGTTAACACACACCAACGAGAAGCCCTTTGCCTGCCAGATCTGTGGGCAGAGGTGAGTGAAGTCTGCTAGGTGGTTTCTTCTTCTAGAGACCATACAGGGCTCTTCAAGAGTTCAAGAGGAGATAGGGCATTAGCAAAGAGCTAGCTGCCCAGACCCTACTTCCAGGAGCAATCCCCTATTATAAGAGTCTCTGCCCTTAACAGTTCCTGCTTTAAGTGGACCCAGCTTAGTCTCCAAGGAGCTTTTGCAGAGGGCGGTTTGGTACTTAAGAGCTGATGGGAACAACGTTTCAGGGCCTGGGGCAGGCCGTGTCCTAGGACATTGTGGCCTGGTTCTCTGCAGGGAGCACAGAGGCCCTGTGCTGCCCGTGGCAAGGTCCACCTCACTCTCGTTCTTCACTCTCATTCTTCCTGAAGGTTCAACCGTAATGGGCACCTCAAGTTCCACATGCAGCGTTTGCACAGCTCGGAGGGGAAGAGGCCTGGGGCACCTGCAGCTGCTGCCCAGCAGACCATCATTCTGAACAGTGACGAGGACACGCTGGCCACCCTGCAGAGTAAGATGTGTGCCTGCCCTGACCAGGGGTGTACCTCCATCTTTCCTGCGGCCAGAGCCGCCTGTGGTGCTCGTGAGCTGAGCAGGGTTAAGACAGGTCTGGGCCAGGAGATTCCTGTTGAAGTTTAAGGTTGCTGGTGGCAGCAGGACCCGATGGGTGCAGCATCAACCATTGTGGTTCTGTGTGCAGAACTACAGGTGCAGTGTTTTCTCCAAGCAGGTCCTAATAGCTCAGTGCATTCAGGGAGCAGCAGTGATGTGAACAGCTTGCAGCTGAAATAGGAAGTGGAATTCATGCTGTTTGATGTGGATGTTGGGTTTTACCCACAGTGCCCTCTAGTCTCTTCATCTTGGGAGAGTTTGGTTTAGCCTCTTACCCTCCATGAGCCGAGTTAAGAGAATGTCCTGTGCTCCTCAGTGGGATGGACATGTGGCAAGGGCTGCTCTTGGGAGCGGGGCTGGCTGGCAGCTCTGGCGGTGCCTGTACTGGCTTTCTCTACGTTCCAGCGGCTCTGCAGTCTGGTCAGGCGGTGCTCGCTCCCGAGCGCCTGCAGCAGGCTCTGGGACAGGAACACATCATCGTTGCTCAGGAGCAAAGCATCGCAAGCCAGGTGAGTCACACTGGTCAGTCACGTCCTCCCACCCGGTGCTGCCTCTCCCCAAGCTGCTGTGCTCAGAGGTCCCCTCATCTCAGAGGGCTGGCAGTCAGGTATAGCTGACACTGACAGTGCTGGCCTCTTGCTGTCTTGCAGGAGGAGGCTACATACATCCAGGAGATCACAACTGCTGATGGACAGACAGTACAGCACTTAGTGACATCCGACAACCAGGTGAGGTGGGGGGCTGTGCACGTGAGGCCTATCGCAGGACTTGGGGAACCAGAAGATACTGCTCAGCCGGAGCAGGGACAGCAGGGAATCTCAAGGGCAATGGGGCGAGGTGGGATGGAAACAGGTACAGAAGCCAGTCAAGAACCAGCTGTGTTGTGGTTTGGGGAGGGCAGTGGTGACCTGTCTTTTTGGTCTAAATCCCTGTGTTTGCAGGTTCAGTACATCATTGCCCAGGATGGCGTACAGCACTTGCTTCCCCATGAGTATGTTGTTGTCCCAGAGGGACATCACATCCAGGTAAGCGTCAGACTGACCGCTCCCTTTGCGCAATGGATGGGACCACAAGGGTGCCGCGTGCGAGGCAGGGCCTCCTTATGTTCCCTATGGCTTGCTCTGTTTAAGTCACACCTTTGTTCAGGAAGCAGGGAATACTGCTAGCCTTAACATAGTCTTACTGCAGCTTTTGTGTTCAGGTACAGGATGGCCAGATCACCCACATCCAGTATGAACAGGGCAGCCAGTTTCTCCAGGAGCCACAGGTAAAGGGACAGGCGTGGGTGCTGAAGCTGGTGGTGCTACAGATAGGGCTGTAGCGAGGTGATCTCTGCACACGCAGCTGGAGAGGAAGGGGTGTGAGATGGAAGTGTGGGTGGGTTAGTGACTCACTGCAGCAGCTGTGGCCAGGGCAGCCCTCCAAGAGGGGCCCTGCCAGTCCCAGACTCTCCTCCTTTTGTTCTCTCTTCCCTGCAGATCCAGTATATGCCTGTCTCACCTGAGCAGCAGCTTGTCACTCAGGCTCAGCTGGAAGCAGCTGCACACTCGGCAGTCACAGGTAGGGCCAGGGCCACAGGGCCAATCTGTGACTTGGCTCTGACAGTCTCGTCTCCCTTCTATTCTTGGGTTTCCAGTCCTGCATGGGAGTTTGTGATGCCTCCTATCAGCTGCTCAGATGCCGTTACGGTCTCGGTTCAGCTCCGCTTGCAGAGCTGCTCGTTTGCTGTAGCTAGTGGGGTCCATCAGGGCAGCTATGCGCTGGCTGGCTGGCAGTGATCCTTGGCTGGATGGAGATAGGCTAGGCTAGGCTAGGTTGGCATCTTCTGGCCTGTGTCCTGTAATTCTGGGAAATAGCCAGCCATGGTCTCTTTGGGGGAAGCTCTGTGCTGATCTCCGAAAGTGTCAGTTCTGGAACAGTACTGGCTCTCCTGTGCTGGAGACAGGTAGCTGTAATGAGAGGCCCAGCTTCCCCAGGGTGGAAACACCCTGACGCGTGTTTGCAGAGTTAACCAGAGGCGAGTTCCCCGCTGTAGCCCTAGAGCCCTTCCTGAAGCGTGGTGTCCTTTGCGGTACCGTGTGCCCATTCACCTGAAAGCGGGCAGCAAACATGGAGAGGGGCCCTGGGAAGCAATTTGCTTTCCTCTGCCCTCGGACACAGGAGCAAGGAAGTACTGACTCACCCCCCTCCTCCGCAGCAGTGGCTGATGCCGCGATGGCCCAGGCCCAGGGCATGTTCACCGCAGAGGCAACGGCCGAGCAGATCCAGCAGCTGCAGCAGGGGATCCACTACGATGTCATCACGCTGGCAGATTAGCAGCAGGGACAGGCCTGGCTGACGTTGACGTTCTCGGCCATCGGTGCTGCATCAAGGCAGCTGCACTGTGCAGAAGCCTCCACAGCCAGCAGTTGCCTTATTGCTTTGGGGCTACAAGGGACGTGCCTGAGTACCCGCTGGTGGGGTTGTGCTGCTGCTCTGCTGTGCGCAGCAAGGGGTCCTGCGCATCCTCCCCTGGCACAGGCAGCTGCCTCTTGAGCAGGGACTGCTCACCAGCCAGGGCGCTGAGGCAGGCTGAGCGGTGGCAGCACTCTGATGTGGCTGGTCTCTGTGCTTGTTGCACTTGATGGTCTGAAATCCCTTTTCCTGAATCATGTCTGTGTGGGCCAAACTCAAACCAGCGTCCGCCTGGCACGCGAGGATCCTGGGTGAGAGACATGGGGCCGAGCACAGCCACGTGGTACGGTGTGATATGTGGGACATGTTCAGCCTCAGCCATGTGCTCCCCGCTCCTCAGCTGTGGAGTGTGTGGTCCTGGTATGAAAGCAGCCTTCCTTCCCTTGGCTTTTCCAGCCTGCAGGCAGGCATCAGTAGGGCTTTGGACTGGCGGAACCCACAATAGGAAGAGGCATAGGTGGAAGATCTTCTGTTTTTCTTCTGAAGAGGGATGGACTCTGCTGCAGAGTTGGTTTGTAGGTGGTTATGGGAGGGGTTCGATTCTGACATTCTCAAGCTTTGAATATGCTTATGAATAAAAAGGGATTGAAACCTGCATGTGTGGAAAAGGGTGGTGGCTGCTACCCCTGCCTGGAGGATCTGTGATCCTACAGCAGCATCTTCTTGAGTAGCTGGGCCAGCAGGGAAGGGAAAAAACACCTTTGCTGCTGTTGTACTGTGGCATGTCCCCTTGTGTGCTGGGGCAGAAGGGTCCCAGACACTATTTAAACTGAGGCTATATGGGACAATGGGATAGGTCTTTGCTGGCAGATGCAGCAGTCCTGTGCTATCACCTCCCTCCTGCTGGAGTGACCTTGACTCTTGGGGAAGTGAGCTGTGCATCTGGTAGAAGGGTGATTTGGGGCCTGTAGTCATGAAATTAATCAAGTGGTAAACAGCCTAAATCCCATGTAACTCTGTCCCAAACTACACATGCTGCCCCTCCCTGAGCGGATTGTCTGGAAGTATTTACATGTGATTATAACAGCTAATCTCAGAGTTTTAGTTATATGTATTTGCATTAAACTGATTATCTGCAGAGGGGGAAAAAGACCTGGAACCACCCAACTTCAGCAAGAGCTTCTGCGAGGCCTGAGCTCAGTGCCTGCCACTGCTGCCAGCCTGACCTGGTGTGATAACTGTGCTCTGAACCAGGTTCCTGTCCCAGCTCTCGCAGTAGAGGAGCACAGCACGGAGGCTTGCACTGTGAGCAGCCTGCTGCCGACTGTGGCAGCAGCAGCGCTCCGTCCCTGGCTGCGGGGCAGAGCAAGGTTCCTGGGGAGCCCCCTCCTTGTCCCCTGCCTCAGCCTGGGTTTGGGGCTGCGGGTGGTGGTGGCAATGCTGCACCGAGGCCCCTTCCCTGCACGCAAGATTGCGTGCCAGATGCCTGGGCCTGAGCGGGCCAGGCCGCCGTCCTCCCTGCCCCATGGGGAAAAGGGGGTTTGGTGCCTGCAGGGTGCAAACGCAGCCCCGAGGCACTGCCTAGTCCTGCACCTCCCACGGGTGAAAATCCTCGTCCCACAGGCTGGGGTTGTGCTTGGCCACGTAGCCCTGTCCTGCTCATGGCTGTGTCCAGCCGTGGATGTGGCTGTGTCTGCCTGTGTGTGTGTGTCCAGCTGTGACCCTCTGTGCCGAACTGTGGCTGTGTCGAGCCATGGCTCGGTCTGTGCCCAGCTGTGTCTGTGCCTGGCTGGGGCCCTGGCCCTGTCCAGCTGTGCCACGCAGGGTTAACGCTGCAGCAATCCATAGGCTCTTTCCTAGATTACGGCCCCATTATCTAATAAAGCGGATCCAGCAGTGCGGCCATGCACGACGCTGATTAGGGCCAGCAGAGTCCTGTGGGGACAAGGTTAGGGCACAGCTGTGCCGGTGTGGGGCTGTGGTCGGCGAGGGGGGCGAGGGCTGGCCCCGGTGGTCCGGCTCAGCCGTCGTTCTGGGCTGCCGCGCGGCTTCCGCGCC